TGTTATCACTGGCAAAACAAATGTCCCAAACTACAGGAAGTACTTGAGGAGTAGTGGAAACAAGACTGCACTGTGCATGTTTGTGAGCCACTACATTGTCACTGCTGCCCCACAGAGACTACACTCAGGATTTGACGAAAGGGAGGAGGTGAAGAGCATCTGCACAGCAGGAGTCAGCAGTTTGACATCACTGTACACAGTGATCAGGAGGAGGCAGACACAAAGATGGTGCTCCATGCCATACATCTTGCAGAGTCATATTCCCGCATCATTGTGAGGTCTGATGATACAGGTGTGGAAGTACTGCTCATATATTATGCAAGCAAATACATGTTTGGTTCATCTCTAGTGTACTTGCATGCAGTGCCAGTGCCTCTCTGTTGGCCTTCCCTGTACGGAGTTCTGCACCTGCTGTGCACAATGTCAAAATGTGTCCCCTAACGTTTCTGAGGAACCTGACATTTAACATTATATTCTAGTATCTCTATACTTGACCTCTCACAGAATTATTTGATGATTTGTATACTGTACTTTAAATGAAGGTTCCAGTTTCAATAAAACATGTACTATTTACACCTATGTTTTAGAGGCTTGCAATTTAGAACTAATACACTTTATTTTATTGGGCTAATCTTATTCTGACTAGTTGGTGATGTAGTTCAGTCACCTGGTATTTCCCTCTCCAAATATAGACCATCAGAGTGAGCATTCTTAACTTATAGGCTATTATGCCACTTATCCCCCATTCGGAGTTTGACTGTCTCAGAGAAGAGGTAGGCCTATGTCTAAAGAAATCTCATTTGCAATAGAACTGTACCAGATATTTCCATACAACTACTGGTTAGTGTTCAATAGCACCCTAGACAATTCAGTAATGGTATATTATTTAGGGATTACTGTTTTTCTGATAAATGAGAGAAAAGTGATGGAGTCCTATGTTCCTATCACCAAAAAGTACAATTTCCGTCTAAACTAAAGCTACATTTACAGGACTATAATTGTCTGACTAATGGGAGACCCTAAAGATAAGAAAAATAATTGTTGTCATTTGTCCTACCTCGGGTAGGGGTATCTCGAAAACTAAAGCCTTTCTTGAGGACTTGCTGCTAGACTATTGATTAAGAACATACTTCCTGGAATAACAAATGCCTGAAAGTAACTTCCTCATGAAGTAATTTTTTGACGAAAGTAAAAAAAACACCTTCAGATGACTGATTGGGAGAGTGAGTCACTATTTAAATCAGCATGAGGAAAAAGGGAGACTGTATTGTAAATGAAATATGATGAATTATAAGGCACATACTAAGAGTCATAATAGACATGGCTTTTCATAATCTGTTGTTTTACACTACAAAAACAAGTTTAGCTTTTACTGGGTCTTTTGAGTGTTTGCTCTTAACAAAAGTTCCTGTACTAATGTAGCACTCATTACCGCTCTTACTGTAACCAAACACTACAAAGTTTCTTCTGGTCTTGGGCTCTTTTATGTACACCACACAGGCTGCATGTCAAGTCATTTTAATGCTCAGATGCTGCAGCACTTTCACTCTCAGTGGTTGTAACCACCACAGCACATTATCAGTGCAGGAATGCTATTTTCAGCTCTTCGACTCTTATTTAACATGCACACATTCTGATACCGAGCTCACGCAGAGCCGGTTTGACTCAAATGGTTTCCCTTTTAAGTTGTTTCCCGAGACGCTGACATGGAGAGCGTGAGATAGTTGCGTTAGCTGTCATTAGATGGATGCTTTAAAAGGGGCATTCCAAAGAAAACTACCCCATTACTGCTGCTCGTTTTCCCCTGCAGGTTTCCCAACAGCAAACACGGCTGCATACAAACGTGACTTACCGAAACCAGCACAACGTTTCCTTCAAATGCAAGTGTGAACGATTAACAGTTAAATTAACATGCGTTTGTTTTGATCTTAATCGTAGCCTACAGTCATTTCAAGGAACATGGCGGATTTCGAAAAAGGATGCAAAGTTCTCCATCTCTGGGTGTTTCTCAATGTCGAGGACGCTTCCTTGGTAGGACATGTCTTCCGAGTCACTTCCTTCAGAAGCTAGGCAAGAATCCGTCCTGGCATTCGGAAAACGAAGAGTGGAACAGACGAGCAAGTGTGCAGGTGTGCGTCATATGAGAGGCCCCGTCTTCAATTTTCCGCCACAGATTTGGGGAAATTAGTCCGTGCGCAAAGCATTGTGGGGATTTTAAGACCGCGGAGGATACACGTGTGCAGCCTCGAAATGTGTCGCTACGAAGGACGCTTGGTAGAATTCCAAGGAGCCTGGACATTGGAACAGTCCTTTGGCGGGACTCGATGACGTAGCATCCTTGAAATAGTGGCTCTGGAGGAGCCTTCCTCGACATTGAGAAACACCCTCTGTATCAAAACAAGTTGTCATCGTTACTAATGGCGTTCAAAGGCTTTATTTTCATATGCATAACAGCTATAGCGTACTCCAACAGTGCAACATGCAATACAATTAAGACATTGAAAGAAAAATACATAAAATAGTCCAAGTAAAATGCAATACAAAAATAAACCATGTACATGTCAAATAGAAAACCGTGGACAGAATGTAAAACTAAAATGTACAATACTGTACTATGAATACATTCATCAGTATTCCTTACGGGTAATATCTATAATATATGGCTTAATGGGGCAATCTGTTGAGTTATTTTATCCTGTTCAATATTAACACAGACAGAAACATATTTTCTAACCCTAAGGGCACATTCAGCCTGATATTAGCCCTCAGGCAAAACAAGAAAATGGCTTACAGCATGTGCTATAGTCTAGTTTAAAAGCAGAGGCAAGTATACTGCACTGCTGTTTAAACACTGAGGCAGGACCACACCTCTATTTCATTTAAAAATACCCCGCCACAAATAAGGGTGTTGAATTTAGCTTATACTTTAAAGGTTTTATGATATAATGATTGTCCCGGGAAAATATATGGCTCTTCACAGCTCTATAGACACAAAATCTTGCACTTGTTTTTTGGGCTAAAACTTTCGTCAGTTTGTTGTTGTTGTTGTTGTTGGTAATAAGTGGAATTTACCCTGATAAAGACCTCTATATGTTGAACCTTGTGCACTGTATGTGTCTCACATGATACTGATGGAACAGTGAGGGGAAGTTGCCAAAAATCTCTTCAAACTCTTTGAGTTCTCCTGTATTTCTTTTTGAATGGATTCATCACTTATCTATAGAGTAATGAAAATGCTATGCGTATAGGTGAAAGCCCTTAGCTAGTTCTGCTTGTCTGGTGAACATGCCTTCAGTGACTTTGGCTTAAAGCTGATTTATAGCCACATTTTTAAAACACTAAATACATGCAATAAAGATTAGATAGATAAATGACTAAGCACAAACATATTTTGTTGACTGGACACTCAATTAACTTGTCTTTGTCTAGATGCAGAGGGGAAAGGAAGAATGGAATGAAGAGAAGAGAATGGGAGAGGAGAGAAGGGAGGAGTGGAGGGAGGATCGGAGATAGCTCGACTGACTCAGTCACATTCCTGTCGTCCAGATTTATAGTGGCTCGGGGTCCTGAAACAGGCCCGGAGCCACGGCCAAATTACAGTCATCTACAGCATTCCTGTGCTGCAAACACAGGTTAGCAGCCGGGCCGCGCTAAGTGCTAGGTGCTGCCTGTTGACAAATGACTTCCTTTGAAGGGCACAAAGACAGAGACAGAGAGAGACTGGATATTTACTCACGAGGGCACAGAGTCAAGCAGTCTGTGTGTCTTTTTGATGGAAAACAATATGGCTAAAAGTAGAAGAAGAATATGAGATGGTTTGTTTGGGTGTGTGTGTCTATCTGTATCTCTGTGTGTGTTTTTATGTGGGGACTTCGCTTGTGTAGAGTAAACCAGTGAAACCAACTGGCGACATCAGCGCCCCGTGGAGGGTCCCATGCACACACACTCGCACACAGCATCATGATACACTAAATCCCCTTTACCAATGGAGGAAAACACAGTAACATCTGGCTTTTGTCTTCGTTGAGACGGTTACAATCTGCTCTCAGTACCGGGACAAATGAACCTGCAGTAATCGCGGATATAAGTCCTATCTGCATCAGCACACGGGCGAAAACGCACATTTTCCTAGTTTTTCCAGGACGATAGTATGTGAAGCAGGGATTTGGACTATTCTTATAGATTATTAATGTACACAACATACAATTAATATTCTCTTCTTTAAAGCAACCAGACTCCATTGTCAGAAAAACTTCACTGATCATTGTTACATTTAATTTAGCTGATGCTTTTATTCAAAGCTACTTACAATAAGTGCAATCAACCAACGGGATACAAATTCAGTACAGCAAGAGTCCTGCAAGTACCTTAGCTTTAAATAATCCAAACATTGAATGGACAAGATATAAAACACGTGATTCTCAAAATCATATTTTCTTAGTGTTTCTATACAATCATCATGGTTGTTTTGAGAGTTTGAAAAAGATACCGGATCATTTACAGAAAATAAGTAACAACTGAACATTTTCTCTGCACCATCCCTCATTCCAGACGTCAAACATGACTCACCATAAAAAGACCCTCGACCACTATGGGAATCATCTCCTATGTTTTTTACGGGTTTTCGAGTGTTTAAAAAAACCTGTAAATACGCACTACTTTGAATGCAAATAGGGTTTAACACACATACACTCACAGGTTCACAAAGGATGGGAACAGAGGTCTGTGATCTGTTTTAAGAGTATCTTTGTGTTTAATACCAGGTTCCCAGACTACTAATAGCACTAATAGCCCATCAGACCCGGGGCCAGCCTGGGGGCTGCTGACATGACCTGACATGTTTGTGTTTTAAAAAGCAAAAACCAGAGATGCGGCATCATTTATTCAGTGTGTGTGTGTGTACTTATGATGTCTTAACTGATGGAAACAAACAACACAGGAAAGAGTGATTACATGGATGTTAATATATATGTGTGTGTGTGTGTGTGTGTGTCCTTCAGGCATTCACAGGCACCAGTCCCAGGACCTCTCGGGCTATTACTCCCTCCCTCCAGGCGGCGTCGGACAGATCAGTCCCTCCATGGGCTGGTGAGTCTCTCACACACACACACACACACACACATGCACGCACACACACGCACAGGTATATCTGTACATACAGTCCTTGTGTACTTGTGATGACCTTGTTACTGTATAACTCTTCCCTAACTTTAAAGGAATCGCCATGATTTCTCTAACATAATGAAAACTGAGAGCTACAAATATTTAATAATTGAGTAATCTATAAAAAAATATATAATACATTTGATAATAGATTTATCCTTTTTTCGTGTTTTTTAAAAGGCTCCTTTCTGATTTTCCTGGTTTGCTTCTGTGACAGTAACCTTAATATCTTTACATTTTGGAGTAAAGTTTGAATTTAAGTATGTCGTTTTTTTTTCTTTTTTATATCTTATTGAAAGAAAACGGGAACAAAATTCATCAATAATGAAAATATCCTTTTTCCCCAGGCCTACACATATACTTCTGCTGTTAAGTAGCTTGTAACTGAATTTGTACCATTAATTCACATCTGATTTAACAACTAACCCTCAAACATCTAAAGAAGGTCTTCTGATCATCTTCACAAATCACCTTTACCGTCCTATCACCTTATTAATCGTCGTCATCTCCCCATTGTTGCATATACACACACACACACACACACGCACACACACACACGTGGACCCAGGTTAGTGTATGATACATCACTGTCTCACATGGTGTCAAAAGGGGCTGACCCAAGGCTCTGTTTTCATGGACGCCACTTCCTTTGATCACATGTGTTTGGGAATCTCACTTCAACTTTTGTGGCATCTGGTAAAGGAATGTGGACAACAGAAACATTCAGAAAAAACTTCAACTTAAAATAGTCTTGAGTAACAAACAAATAGCATTACTGGCTAATCCATGTAGTCACAAGCATGTTTTTACTTCTTCTTAAAGCACATTTGACCTGGAATTATTAAAAGTTCCCAGAAGAAGTTCGAAACATTTCAAAACAATCACAATAGGGTTGAATTTCATACTTCAAGATAACCGTAAATATCCTCACCTGAGTGAATCAAAGAAGTTATCTTACTTGCTATAAGTATAGAAGTGACAAATAAAGTCTTACTTTGAATTCTAATGCAATGTGTGCTTTCTTTTAACATGATGAACTTGTGATTTATGATTCATTTTAGGTTGCTTAAAAAACATTTTGTAGCATGATTGAATTAATATGTTAAGTGATTAAATGTAAGGTTATGTTGTTTCAGTATTGTTCAGTGCCATTTTAAGTAATTCTTAAGATTTTTAAGCAATGAGTTACATTTTCATATTGTCCCCTGCCTAAAATAGAGTACTCTTCATATCTAAATGTGTAACTTGCAGTATTTGTCCAGATGTAGTGGGTTTAGGAAGATGTCAGCCTTACATTAACGAGCAAAAACCACATAATTGAAAATGTACATGTTTGTTGTGGCTTTGATCCACTACATGTTGTTTGGATCTCAGCCTGTCTTGATGTTTCCGTTAGTTCCTTTATAGTAATAAAGCAGTAGCAGCAGTTTGGGACATCTGCTCCATATTAAGTCATTCCATTAAGAGTTTACATCTATTCTGCGTGGATCGTGAGCTTGCGATGTCATGCTGGTTGATTGTGAACTCATAATGTCAGACGTCCATTGATTTATGGATCAACACAAATCCATTTATTACAACCTACAGTATCTGTGCCTGGACAAAATCCCCTGCGGGAACAGTTAAAGGCTTACATCAAATGTCATGGAGATTTGGAAGGGAAGCTTAAAAACTTTGTGCGTTTGTACACATACCAAGTGTGTTTATGTCTCTGTAGGACGTGCTGTGTGTCCCAAGACGTTTCTCAAGTCTGTGATTGAAAGGCGTTTTATCTTTTTCAGACACTTCACTATGGATTTCCACAAATATTATTAACAGCTAATCTCCTCCTCCCAGATTATCTGCTTGTTTTGGCGCCTTGTAGTGTGCTTCTTTGTTGAAGGAGGAGGAGGGGCCGGCATAGAGAATAAGTGGTAAATGTCAAACTGTTCTGTTGCTTTTTACCATTAGCCTGGTCGCTCCTCCTGTTCCTCCATGACCACCTCTTCATGTCTCCTGGGCCTGTTCACTGATTGGTTGCTACAGCCCAGGCGGAGCGCAGGAATGATTTCAGATGTGTTGTGCTGTTTTGTGAGGATGCAGCCTTGTAGAACATGAGTCTCACAAACATGTTGCATTATTAAATACAGTGAGAGCTGAAGGGAGTGTTATGAAGCCTCTTTAACTTCTATTAACGAAAGCAGAGTGAGAGTGTAGCACAGCCTCTTCTTTCCTGTGAATATCCAGTTGTGCTGGGGGAAAAAAGCTAGTTTGTTAAGGTGATGTCGGACGTCTGCAAAAGGGCTGGTCATCATAGAGAAGAGGGAAAGACTTGATGTTGTTAAAATACTGGGATAACAGCCCAGAATTTCAGATAATCTTCTCTGGATGACATTCATAGTGTTGCACTCTGTGGTTCACACGAAAAGTGACAGAACTAGTTGTGTGACAAATACAAAAAGAGAGCTACTGACTGGAGACACGTTTAAAACCCTGCCCATCCACTAAACTCTTTTCTCTACTATGGCTAGTGATGGCCAGAAACTAAGAAAATCCCAAATTGAATGGCTTTCGTTTATTTCCCACTTATTGGTCCTACATGATGAAAAACACGAAGAGCAGGAAGGCGGTCTTTTTGGGGTCTTCTGTGTCAGATCAAACAGTTACTGCGAGCATGACAGCTATTCGTCTTTGTCGTCATTCAGTGACATTTTTAAACTCATGACCTTTGACTTATCAGTCTGTTGGGATGTAATTACTTTGTCAATTGTAGTCAAAATGTAACAAAGAAATTGCACAAAGCGCTGCACAATGGAGCAGGTCGCCTAGTTTTTCATCTCATTCCCAGCATACCTCTGTCCAGCCATGCCTGTCACACAGGAGGTATTTTTCTGTTTGAGAGTGGCGTCACACTCAAGAGCGGCTGTTTTTCGCAAAGATTATGATTTGTGACCTGTACGATGGTGTGTGAGAGCACTGGTGTTTTTAAATGTAAACTAAATGAAACCACACTGATTTGGATTGATTGACGCATGTGGATTATAAGACATGGTGTGGGCAGCTTCCTCGTGAGATAAAAAGCAGACTTGTTGTTTAGTTTGCCTTAATCTGACCCGTGTTGTAGTGGGACCTCAGTTAAAACAGGATTACAGCGTCATTGCTCCAGGAGCTGAGCCCAGGGATCTCTGAGTCTCTTCCCCGCCGAAGGCCTCTGCTGCTGGGCTTCACTGTCCATGCAGCGCTGCCTCCTCCTGGAGCCAGAGGAGGGATGCAGTGGAGAAAAGGAGGAAGTGTGTGTGGTGATCATGACGATCGTAACAATAGTTTGAATGTGGATTGGAGTGCGTGTGTTTGCATTTGCTGAAACGTTAGGATGAGTCAGTTGAAGGGGGGGATGGTGGTATTGGCTCTCAGGAGGTAGAAGTGTGGTTTTTTTCTACATATCAAAGGCTCCTTGCTTACATGATCCCACCCCCACCCTCGACCTCCCGTGGTGTGTGAGTGTGTGTGTTTCTGTTCCCGGTAAGCCAAGTATTGACACACAGCTGTCAACAGTGCTGATACACACTCTCCGGGGGGGAATCACCGACGTGCATCACAGAATATTCTCAAAAAGAGACTTCTATGGATGCAAGGAAGCATTAAACCATGAGATTTCACTTTATTGAACTGTGATCTTTAAAATTGTAATTAGTTGTTTGTTTGCATTTTACAAAAACGGCAAGGCAAATTATAAATATATTAAAATATATATACACATATTTGAATGCATATATATTAAAACACTTGAACAGGAGAGGTGGAAAACTAAAAAACAAAACAAACTAGTTATGAAAGCTGTAAATAATGCAGGCTAGATCATGAGTCACAGGACAACAAATAAGAGGAACATGTAGAGAAAATGAGGTATTAAATATTATTACTGTGACTAAGAATAAATATCAGAACTAAGAACAAAACCTTTGCTAAATCATAACAGTGACTGGTGGTACTGGGATCCACACGAATGATAAGAGATTTTAAATGTTTTAAAAACCAAAACGGGTGATAAATTGTTGTTAAAAGTGATGACTGTTTTGTTGATCAAACACAATGATGAATTCAAATGTGGTGTTTGATGTATTTCACAGTTACACTTAATGTTACTATTTTAATGCTAATCTCCCTTCATTCTTGAATAGATTGGATCGGGATGACACAGTTTCAGTTATTGAATATATTAGGAATGTTATGGGAACTGATACATTGTGTAAAAGTTGGAAATCTCATAATTGCAGCTGTAGTGGAAATCAATTGATCTTAAGGGCTAAACATCCTCAGAAGGATTATCACGTTTCCACCTGTAAAGCAGATAGATAGATAGATATACAAATAAAATAATACATTGAATACTCTACAATACACAATCTCACTAAGCTACAGAAATCTATAGAAATATACTACAGTCAAATAATGATATGTACATTACAATTGTTATTAAAAGGCACCTAATTAAAAGGCCCCACTGTTGCCGTGTCTCCCCCTCTGCTGTGCTGTGGCAGGCAGAGTCAGCCCGTCTATCCCTCCCTCCCCCCCTGCGGCTTCAGGCAGCCCTACTCCTCCAACCTCTCCAGCGCCTCCTCCTACTCCAGGTATCGTAGCCTGCTGGGCGGACCAAGCCAGATGCAGCCAAGAAAGTAAAAAAAAGCTAAAACAACAAGCTACGCTCTGCATCACCTACTCCTTTTTACAGCACATTTCAAAATGCCTGAACAGGACTTTCCCCTGTTCAGCTTCTATGTCAGCTCTCATTGGTCAGCTGCTGTTATAAAGTCCGATTGGAGTCAGTGTGCTGTAAACAGGACGAGTTCAGTGTTACGCCAGAAGTTAGGACACAAGCCGAGTCGAGGCAAACTGAGCCGGGCCACGCTAGACGCTGCTGCAGAAACACACTCTCTTGAGTACCATCAGGATATTAGTTGCTTTGTCCTTGCCATCACTAACATGTGTTTTTTGTGTGTTCCTGACCCACGACACTTACCATTAAAACGTGTGACATCCTGTTATGCTGTCCCATGCAGCAAGAGTGTTAGTTTTTCAAGGAGACCCATAGAAATAAAAGTGTGATCCTCTGCATCCAGCTGTGAGATTTAGAGAGCAGTGTCTTTATATTGTTCAGCCAGGTTTTTGTTTTTTTTTGCTCAAGCTGTGACTCTACTCTCAGTACAGTGTAAGTCGGCGCTTGCAGCAGACCAATGCTTTCTTGCCACAGTGCGCTTTGCAAGTTCGTCTGTTGTCTCATACACACAGCCTCATCACACAGACACTGAAGTTCAAACAGCCTCTCATATAGTTGGTTTCAAACCTGCATTGTGAAACACAGGTGGGCATTTCCACCTGGAGTGTATACTTTCTATTAAATAAATCAGGGAGACTCAAAAGTCAAATCAAGTCATTAAAGTCAAATCAAGTCATATGATATGGATCCTTAATCTTCAGATCCTCCTGTAAGGAGCTGTAAGGTTCAGTAAATCCCACCTAGGGACATTACTCTGTGCAGGTTTAAAACAAACACTATGAAAATGTTCATATATGAAAATAAGATCCTCACTCCAGCAGCTGCTGCTTTATCGTCAGTTATACTTATTTTTCTTTGTTTCAAACAAAATTCCTAAAATGGTGTTCTATAATGCTTAAAGCCATTTGGATCATATGGCGCATGGTTACACTATTAATTGCAAATGTAAGATGTGAAGTCTGTTTTCAGTCAGTGTACTTCCAACACAGGCAGCCTCTAGGTGTGAACATAGGGTGTGTAGCAATATGTTCACTCTCTGTAATGCGATGACGCCCTCTAGTGGTGACAGATGGTTACATCTTTACTGAAGATCTAAGAAAAAACCAAATCAAACATTCTAAGTGCCTTGCTCAACATAAATACCATCAACCAATATTTGTGTTTGCTGCTTTAAGAGCCTTTGTTCACACAGGCAGGAATCTTGCTTTCAGTGAGTACAATGTGGTTCTTAATCGATTGACTTTTCCATGCTTTAAAGCTCTTTGCTTACCAAAATAGTCGCTCTTGCTTTAACGCTCATCGTCCTCTCTGACCCTGACTCAAAGCATTTCCCTGAACTTTTTTTTTGTTGCTCTCTATCTGTCTCGTTTTTTCAACTCCACCAGGTTCCCTCACTCTCTGATGCTTGGCCCATCAGGCATGCATCCCACAGGGATCCCCCACCCAGCCATAGTGCCCCCTTCAGGCAAACAGGAGCACGATCATTATGACAGGAGCATGTACATGTAAGTATTGCCTCCATTCTCCATAACTCTTCACCATTTCCTTGTTTGTTTATCCTTCAGTTTTTTTTCTCCAGCAGGATTTGTATATAATTTGAGGCAGAAATGGCTGCTTTTGTGTGGCAATATTTAGTATATTGCAAAGTTGACTCACTTTATTTCATGCTAATGAACTCAAGTAGACATTTTGACTAGTTAGGGGAGGGTACTGAGCTATTTCAGTAATTGGATATACAGTACATTTAATTATTAGGAATTATTGGGTGCAAAAATGAGGAAATCTCATCTTTTCAATTGTAGAGGACATGCATTTCACCCTATAGGAATAGTTTGTTATGTTGTAAAATATGTCGCTTTATGCCGAAAGTTTAAAGAGGAGGATGCATTAGATATATGAAGCTACAGCCGGGAGACACTTAGCTTAGCTTAGCACATAGATTAGAAACAGGGAAACAGGTAGCATGGTTCTATCCAATGATAACAACATCCACATAGCAGCCTCTCTAATCCTCCCTACCTAAAATGTAACAAATGTCTTCTGGCTGTAGCTCTATATATAACGTCCACACTCTCTTCCTCCTCCGTCCTCAGGAAGCCGCAGGTGGAAGCCAAGCGGGAGAAGGAGCCCAAGAAGCCGGTCATCAAGAAACCCCTGAACGCCTTCATGCTGTACATGAAGGAGATGAGGGCGAAGGTCATCGCAGAGTGCACATTAAAGGAGAGCGCCGCCATCAATCAGATCCTGGGACGAAGGGTGAGAGTTTCTCACACATGCACACACACATGCACACACACATACACACACACACACACAGACACACACACACACAGACACACACACACACATAACTGAGGGCAGACTAATCCTGTTTCCAGGTCAGTGTGTAATTTGTACACATGAGGAACATGAGAGGACTGTGGTAACGTGATCTGCGCTCCCCTCACACACTGGTGCTGCTAAACCATAACAACAGTGACTGGTGGTCCTGGGATCCACAAGAATGATAAGAGATTGAAGTGTGTTATGCTATTGTTACAGTCCAGCTGCAGATCATGGTGTATGGTACTCAACTGTGAAACCTTTTGTATTGGTGGAAATAGATCTAGACATTTCTATATCAAAGTCAAAGACAACTTTATTGTCAATCTTCCAGTTTGTGTGTACAGACAGAGATACATAGGCTAAATGTATTTTAACGCCCAAAATCGCATGCTCTATGGATATTAACTTAGAGCTAAAGTGTCATAATGATTGATGAAAGTGGGCGTGGCCTATGTAGCATTACATGCTATGTTATGTTTTGCTCAATTTGCCGGGAGCTGGGCAGAGGTAGAGACAGGAGACCTGGTACGATCACTGCATGTCCCCATTGTTCACATAAAATGTGAGGCGAATCATAAAGGTTTGAACCCTTCAATGACTGCTGCTGCACCTTTGCATACTATTTGTATAGAAAGTATATGTAGATATATTATTGGTATATATGTATAAATACTATTTGATTGACTATTTGAAACAGGAGTGGTATATGTAAATATCTAATGTGTTATCATGAAATGGATATACTAATAGTTTCTCTCTTGATTTCTGCTTGTTGTGTGTGTCTGCAGTGGCACGCACTGACCCGGGAGGAACAGGCCAAATACTACGAGTTGGCCCGGAAAGAGAGACAACTCCACATGCAGCTCTACCCCACCTGGTCTGCCAGAGACAACTACGTGAGTACTTCTTATCCACGCCTCGTCATCTTTTCTCCTCTTCATTTTTACATCTACAACTTCTCTGAGCTGATAAGTTGATCTAAAGGAGGCGCTCTCACTTGTTATGGAAAAGGCATGATTCCTATACCTGGGCTCTAGTGCGAGCCACCTTTTAGAATAAAGACGTCATTTGGACACTAAAATGACAAATTAAGTAGTTTAATAACCTCCTATAGTTTATTTAATAATCATATATGTTATTACACTACTTTTGAATAATTACTTACTGAAAAAGTGTCCTTTAAAGTAATTAAAACTACAATATTTGTGCTGCATGTGGTGGTATTACAATTCAATTTTCCCCTTGGATGCAAGAACTGATTTTCATTTTCTTTCAAATGAAAATAACCACCAATAAGTTCCTTTCAAAATAAGAGTAAGACAGCATGAGAGGCATTTTAACATTGATAGGTTAAATTATTATAATAACATTATTATGAAGCAGTTCAAGGAAGGAGAATGCTACTTTTGAGAAGAATACAAATTGTCAAAATCATAAAAAGGACAAAACATTTGATGCAACATACAGCAGGAGTCAGTCCAGCCTCTTTACTTCTTCCTCGCTGGTTTGATTCCCTGTCAATAAAACCAAAATGAAACGAGATGTATTCATCAGCCATAACTTCCTGAACTGGGTTTGATCATATTTATTGTTCTTACCTTGAAACTGAAAGAAATGAATAAACCTATCTCCTTTACGGGCTACTGTCTCAACAACCTGCATGATTATTGGCTCTCAGGCCTGTCAGTCAAAAGCCTTTAAACATAGCACAGACTTTGATAGCATGATTAAAGAAGTCTCCCAGAATACGAGTCAAACCTGTGTGGTGCATGTGTTGTAGTCTAATGTTTTGGGATGTGCTGTATCTGGGCTGCTGTGTGCCTCTGATCTGTCAGTTTGCTGTTGAACTCTTGCAGGAGGCGGGCCTTAGCGGGGTCGCAGGGGAAAAGAGTAAAGCTGATTGGGTAGGGACACGTCTTATGGTGGATTTATGCCTCTGTGGTGGGAAAATATGTGAAGAGCTGCATGAAAGGGGTTGTGGGTATTCCTGTGCAAAGTTTGCATGCAACTTCCAAAAATCTTAATGACTCACACACTCCAGCCTCACATGAGCTGCAAAAGCAGATCTGATTGGTCACTTTTGAAAGCATTTCACCAAGTCTTGCACGTTGCCATGGTTATGACTACTAGTGTAAAACACTGAATCACACAGAGGTATAAATCAACCCCCTTTGCTCCACTAACAGAGAGCAGGGCCGCATGGCTGGCCTCGCTGCCTTAGATTTGTATCTACTTTTTTGGTGGGCATCCCTTTTCAAATACAGCACCTTCATTTTTGTTATTTGTAAAGCTTAACACATGTTGTACAGAAACACAACTTTCTCACATAGTAGTCATTTGTTTTTCTAATATTTGAAGGTTTAAGTAAATGTATGAATACTTTCTAGTAGAAAAGGAGGAGCAAATTGTGTCATAATCAGGTGAAGTAAAGGCTTTGGTTGCAACAGAGGCTGCTTTTCAGTGACGTTAGATCGAGTGATTACCTGTCTACGCTTCTCTCTGCTCTTCTATCTTCTCTCTACCTGAGCTGAACTCTGTGGGCGGGCAGGCATGGCACATGAGTTACGGTGACACTTTATTCGGGCTGTGGTTTATAACACGTTCTCTAACTTCTGAACGAGTGCTTCATGTCACAAACATGCACACGGATTCAGCTCTAATGTCTCATCTGGTTTCTGTCTCTTTAATGTTGCATCTGACTGCGCAGCACCATGCGAGTTTACTGAGAAAATACTTTCTTTTACTCTCCCGTTTCCGTAGAGAGTAAATTCCAGGCTCACAGTTGGATAACCTCATGATGTTTTGATATGTTATAAACCAGAGCTCCAGTAAACTGTGTGTATAGGAGCTATTGCTGTTTGCATGGAGCTTTAAGCATTTTCTACGCACGGCACAACACGGTGGATGCTGTCTGATATGATTACTTCAAATGGAAAAATGTCATGACTGAGTCCTCCTGTGTATCATCCACACATGGTGGCTTACTGACGGCAACAGTAGTGTTTTTACCGTTTTTACTGTAGGGGCATTGTAACTTAAAGACAAACATTTAGCGACCACTTTCATGTGATCATTCTGCAGCTCTAAATATGGCTGGGCAATATGGAGACAGTAAACTTCACACTATTACTGATCAAATACCCCAATATTGATAATGCAAGGATATTGTAGGTTTAAATTGAAGACGATATGTAGTCTCATATCGGGATATTGATATATTATCGCTCTAAATGTTGTAGTTGTAAAGTACACTTATTGAATCACAACTCCATGAGTGTAAAGAAACCAAATATATGAATCCAAAATCTTCATCTTAGGCACAGGGCGACACAGTCCGATAAAGAATAGAAAAACACAAACTGTGTAATGACGACACTTGGCCTAAAGAAACCCCCCTCCCCATCACCACCTCTCTTCTCCTGGGGTTTAAAAAAACGACTACACTAGTGGACCTACCAGCAAAACAGGAAGCAAAGTTCCACATACCTCCCCCGCAGGAGGGTTTCTCCTCCGAGCCCAAACATAACACACACACACACACGCACGTACGCACAACGTACGTACACCCACAGACACAAAGCTTCAGAGAAGAGCAGTTGCAAGAGGAGTTGTTTTAACCACATGGACACGCTGACAGCGAGTCGAGGAGGCAGACGTGGAGGCGCAGGCGGTGGATCTCTGCACCCACATCCTCCATCTCCCCCAATATGAGGCCTCACTCCACCATCACAGAACCTGCCTGAGCAACTCTGATGTTTACCTCAACACTCACTTTACAATTAGCCTGGAGATAGTGGGAAATGAAGGCAAATATGTGAATGAGATTGTTGAGACATTTTTGGCGATGGTTCATCAGAATTTGCATGAACGACATTAGTGGTGCAACATCTTTTCTACTTTGTTTTGATCTTTCCTGCTTTTTCTCTTGCTTCCGTAGAGCATTACAGACGGTTGCTTGACCTGGTTGCCGCTTTTAACTTTGCACTTTTTTATTTCCAATGGATTTACATGTCACATACAAATGTTACTTAAGATGGAGATTTCTGTTGATCAAAGAATACACTTTGGGACTATATTTCATCAATATAAAGAGGAAAGGCAATCAAGGGTGGTTTAAAAAACATATTAAGCTAGCCGGGAATGCAGATTAAAAGATAAAAGATAAAACCAGATTTTATTTTTACTGGGAACCTTTCAGACAAAATCATATAGATGTTTATAAAACAGCTGCACAATCCTATTACTTGTTTTTACAAATGATGGCTGATAACTAATATGAGTACAAGCCAGATCAACAGAATGTGTTTGATTTTGAATTAATAGCAATATAATTATTTTTAAAAGCTGAGCCAGTCTCATTTAATTGGGGGGATTTCTTTTGTTTTTTCTCCCACAGGGCAAAAAGAAGAGGAGAAAAAGGGAGAAGCTGCAGGACTCCAACACAGGTAAACATATTCATAATATATGTATCTGATCAGACAGAAACCACAGTGCTATGCTTAAGTACTAAAAACAAATGTACACTGTCAACTGTTCAAGAGGATTGGGTTGAGTCTGAGCTTGCGTTGGCGCTCTGTAGCTCGACATCATGGTGTCTCTGAGGCAGGATGTGTCTTTAACGTCAAACCACCCACTCTGCTTTCCACCTAACCTGAATTATAAACACTTAAATCCCCGGAGAACAACACGTTCTGTCCTGCTCTCAGCTGTCCAAGTTTAACATGTCAGACATCATGGTCATTTCCCTTTTCCCTGGCCAACTTTCCAATCTGTTATATCAACCAATGAAAACACACACAGAAGTCCTCCAAAAGAAGAGCAATCCCTGTACCTGAGTGCTAATGCTAACACTGTAGTAGAAACTAGCATTAGCAGGTAGCAGCAACATTGAGAAAGTTGCCATTTTAGGCAGTAAAGCTGGATTAAACAAATATGAAATGATGGTAACACTAAATAAAGGCAACTCTGGTATGTCATAGAGTAGATTTGTAAAACAATATTCCGCTGATGAATGGGCAACCGATGCAAAAGAATGAAAAATGCTCATGATCCAATGTAAGGTCACGTTCAGTGTTTCTCACAAACTAAAGTTATGTTCCACTTCCTAACAACTTTGTAGATAATAAATACTCTATACATGAATATTGTGATTTTCTACTAAAATATCTGATGCTATTTCAGTTGTCATCCATAGAGGGCAAACATGAGCCTCCTACAAAGTAGTGAAATGTTGTTCTAAAAATCAAGCTTGCTGACCTCTTGATCCTTCCTGCACAAACAGAGTGTCAAAGCACGACCCCCCCACCCCCTCCCCCTGCTAACTGTGCGTCCTAACAGCTTATTTCCAGGGTGTGTGACTTGCTTGTTTGACTCAGTTGTGTGGGTCTGTTGTTGTGCGGTTATTCTGGTGGTTGTTGATGTTTTGCTGTGCTGAAAGCGGCTACTAACAGTTTGACCTGACGGCTCTCTGTCTTCCTGACATGCTCTTGTGTCTCTTCCTTTACCTCTCTCCTCTCTAACCCTCTTTCCTCTCTTCTTCTTCTGCTCCTCTCTACTTCTGCTTTTCCTCCATCTTGTTATGTGCATGCTGTGCGTTGTGCTCAGACCCGGGCTCTCCTAAGAAATGCCGGGCTCGCTTCGGCCTGAACCAACAAACGGACTGGTGCGGTCCCTGCAGGTGTGTAACCAAACATCCAGCTCCACCATCTCCATAGCAACGCACTGCCGTCGTCCAGCAGGCAAACCCCCATCTTTCCTCCCATCTAACCACCTGTCCATCAGAGCACCACCTCCCTCTGATGGAGGCAGTTATGCAAACATTTCTCAAAGGCGGAGCTTCCCTAGAGGTGAACAGTATCCTCCAAATTCACCAAGCATTCAAGCCTTATTTTAATACTCAAGTTACTAAGCACAACCCACTTTTGATTATCTCAACCAATGATATTGTTTGCCTCAAGACAAGCTCCGCCTTGAAAGAAAGTTTGACATCCAGCCTGTTCTCTGCATGTCGTCTGTCACTTACGTGTTGCTCTGCAAATGTAAGCCTTATAGCCATAGACATGTAGTTATATAGTAATAGAAGAGACGTAGTATATGCACATTTACACGGCTGGAAAAGAAGTACCAAAACATCCCAACATTCTTGCAGCAACATGATATTACCCTCAGTCAGTAATTGGCTAAATATAGAAGAGTAATCTGTTTCCTCTGATATTAGGTGAGGCTTCCCAGGTAAAGACAACGCTTTAATTTGTTACCAAAATTAAGTTTTAAAATATTCTCTTTAAAGGACAGAGTGAGTTTGGGCTGCTGTTAGCTTGCATTGCAGCATACGGGCCCTCGATGTATTTTAAAGGGAATAACATTTAAGTACTGCAAGGAAGTGATATCAGAGAGAAACATTCAAATATTGTGTTGATTTTTTATTATTAGAATTGAACTCAGAACATGTCTGAGTCGTAAAAGTAAGGACGTCCAACTCGTTATTGCATTGTCAAACAAAGGTTAGAGTTCGGCTGGGACATTTAAACAAAATAAAGGTGTTATAATCGTCAAACATTGTTCGGATAGTAGACAGACACTATACATAATAATCAGCTTTTTTTTACCAGCTTGCAGTACATGTGCGTTCACAAAATATTCAAATGTTGTAATTGAAGCTATGGCAGCTAAAGCTCTAATGTGTTTCAGTAACCAAGATTGCAAAATTGAATTGATGAAATCATGCTGGAAACCATATTTCTCAGTTTTCCTGCTTTGAATACAAGCTGGAATCATTTGTTTGAAATTCTTAAAAGATAAATAAATTTCAAAACAGAATACCTGGTTTACAATGTTTTGTGTAAAGTTAATAAAGTATCTTTCAGAGCTGTTCACCAACACGTATTTACTCCAACATTGACCCCAGTGTTTTTCATTCCTGACTTTTCCTGCAAATTGCAACAACCTGTTTCTCTGTAATGAATCAGAAACATGGTTATGATACGTTATAAATCAGCCGCAGCCCCTCGCCCCACCCCCCCCCCCCCCGTCTCAGCCTCAGCAGGATTTACAGTAGGCGAGGGCAGCTTCTCTGCAGAGTCGGGGTCTGCAGCTCGCAGCGTCTTCCCCGCCGTCACGTCATGGAAATCTCACTGTGTGTTTCACTTTGAGAGAACAAAGGGGGGTGAATGTGGTTACAGCATATCCTTATCACCACAGCTCCACACACACACACTCCCTGCAGCTTTGCATTTTGACGGCGTTCTCATGCCCATCTGCTTTCAACTCTCTCCATTCATGCGATGCGGTAACAGGCGCCTTTTGATGGTGAACTCTGACATTTAGAAATCACTTTCTATCGCACTCTGCCTCCCCCCTCTCTAAATTTGGCCTAGCGCCTTTCCTTGCGGTTAGACCCGGTGACTCATATCATATTCTGGTAATGATCATGGGATCCTGTTGACTGCTTTGATGCTGCGCTCAGAGTATAACACCTCGAGAAGCTCATCGCTGCTCAGAGACAGGCAATATGTCTGCTGCCGACTAGAGGATCATCCAATTATCTTATTTCAAGAGGTGTTCATTGTTTACCACCATGACAAACAAAAACGGAGTAATTAAGGTGATTAAATGTACATTTCAGTGGTAGTCCCTGCAGTTAAATACAGTGTTAAAGGTCCCATGTCATGGCCATTTCTACTGATCATAATTCCATTGTTGAGGTATGCTAAAATAGATTTATAGTGTGCAATTTTCCAAAATCACATTGGTTTCTCATACAGCATCTCTGTATAGTATGTGTATTCACTCTCTGTCCTACACGGCTTGTTGGAGCTCCTGCCTCCCCTCTCCCTATGAGCCCAGTGGCCGTCTGCAAGACAGCGAGACAAAGCGAAACCCAGCCCGAAACAGTTCCGCGGTGTCTCGCTGTCTCGCCGACCCCACACCAGTGAGCCAGCTCACACTGTCCCGCTCCTCGCAGCAGCGAGCCTCGCAACGTCCCGCCGAGTGTGTGTGTGTGTGTGTGTGTGTGAGGAAGTCCGCGGATTGGTCCAAACTAGGGCTGCACGATTTTGGGAAAAAATCTAATTGCGATTTTTCTGACAAATATTGCGATTCGAATTGCGATATTTGTTTTTAAGCGACCCAATGGAAGTTTATTGTAAAATGCGGCCATATCTCCGGCTAGGAAGGTCGTATCAACGTACTCCCGTCTCTAGCACCCCCGCAGCCCGAGCTACGAGTGAAAGAACTAAACTTACATGAAACTTCCGTTGGGTTGCTTTAAAGTCAAGCTTCAGTTTAAGGTTCACCCTGTAATAGATGTAAAACATGTGATGGAGCATTACTAATCTGACTCAGATGCTTTGTTTCACCAAACCATCTAATGCCCCGGCCACACGAGGACGAAAACGGCCGTTTGCGTTACTGTTTAGTGTCATATAGACCATTCGGCCATACGAGGACGACCGAATACGGCACTAAACGACTGAGGAAACGATAACGGGTCCCAAGGTGGATAGAACGGCATACGCAACGCTCTGGGGGGTCAAACGGCTCCATGTGTGCGCCCTATACGAACATTTTCTGATAGTGATTGCGCAATAGCAATAGCCCCGCCTCTCCCCACCTCTTCTGCTCACCTCCGCTTACCCCGCGCCATTGCTGATGTGTTTCGCCACCAACAACAACAACAACAATGGCGGATCACAGAGTTGCTATCGTGCTCCGGACGCTACTGACCATGCTACAGTTCTTTGTGCAACATCTACAGCAGACTTACACATCCGGGGGGGATCTTACTCGCTGCTTTTGTGGATATGTACTGCAGCTTCAGCGATCATTTTCTGATAATGATTGCGCAATGGGAGTGGCTATATACAGGACCGTCCTGTACACAACGCCAAATGACTATATACAGGACCGTCCTGTACACAACCCTCTGAAATGGCTATATACAGGACGGTCCTGCACAGAAGCCCTGAAATGGCTATATACAGGACGGTCCTGTATATAAGGTCTCTGAAATGGCTATATACAGGACGGTCCTGTATATAAGGTCTCTGAAATGGCTATATACAGGACCGTCCTGTATACAAGCTCCGAAATGGCTATATACAGGACCGTCCTGTACACAACGCCAAATGACTATATACAGGACCGTCCTGTACACAACCCTCTGAAATGGCTATATACAGGACGTTCCTGCACAGAAGCCCTGAAATGGCTATATACAGGACGGTCCTGTATATAAGGTCTCTGAAATGGCTATATACAGGACGGTCCTGTATATAAGGTCTCTGAAATGGCTATATACAGGACCGTCCTGTATACAAGCTCCGAAATGGCTATATACAGGACCGTCCTGTACACAACGCCAAATGACTATATACAGGACCGTCCTGTACACAACCCTCTGAAATGGCTATATACAGGACGGTCCTGCACAGAAGCCCTGAAATGGCTATATACAGGACGGTCCTGTATATAAGGTCTCTGAAATGGCTATATACAGGACGGTCCTGTATATAAGGTCTCTGAAATGGCTATATACAGGACCGTCCTGTATACAAGCTCCGAAATGGCTATATACAGGACCGTCCTGTACACAACGCCAAATGACTATATACAGGACCGTCCTGTACACAACCCTCTGAAATGGCTATATACAGGACGGTCCTGCACAGAAGCCCTGAAATGGCTATATACAGGACGGTCCTGTATATAAGGTCTCTGAAATGGCTATATACAGGACGGTCCTGTATATAAGGTCTCTGAAATGGCTATATACAGGACCGTCCTGTATACAAGCTCCGAAATGGCTATATACAGGACCGTCCTGTACACAACGCCAAATGACTATATACAGGACCGTCCTGTACACAACCCTCTGAAATGGCTATATACAGGACGGTCCTGCACAGTAGCCCTGAAATGGCTATATACAGGACGGTCCTGTATATAAGGTCTCTGAAATGGCTATATACAGGACCGTCCTGTATACAAGCTCCGAAATGGCTATATACAGGACCGTCCTGTATATAGCCATTTCAGAGACCTTATATACAGGACCGTCCTGTATATAGCCATTTCAGGGCTTCTGTGCAGGACCGTCCTGTATATAGCCATTTCAGAGAGCTGTGTACAGGACGGTCCTGTATATAGCCATTTGGCGTTGTGTACAGGACCGTCCTGTATAGTCTCGGCCTTGCGCAATAGCCCCGCCTCTCCCCACCTCTGCTGCTCACCCCCGCGTTAAAGTAAACTGCACACCGAATTCAGATTATTTATCTTTCTCTCGATATGGACATAAACGCGAGAGAAGTCTAATCTGACAGGACGGAGACACCTCTCAAACTACCTAAACTAGTTATAAATATGTTTATTTTTACTGTTGGCCGGGTCACTCATTACTGGATCAGCTGCTGCATGAGACAGACACTGACGCTGTCCAAAGAGAGGGTGGAAAAAGAGAGGCTCCGTGTATTTTTATTATTATATTATATAGAGTCATTATTCATTTGTTTTAAAGCTCAATAAATAACAAAGAAGACCTTTGACCGGCACTTTTATAATTTTGTCGGAAGGTTTAAACTTTAATACACGTTGACTGGCGAAAAACTCTGCCCGGTTCCCTCGGCCCCCACCGCGGAGAATAAACAGAAGGGCAACCATGACAACCATGCTTCTTCGCTGCTTTTGTGGAGGAAGTTACAGCGCCACGTACAGGCTCCTGCATATGTACTGCAGCTTCTCCAGCGGTTGGAGCTAAACGGAGCGGTCTCGTGTGGGCAGACACTATCCGGATAACTATTGCGTGTGGACGGAAGCTTGTTTGCGATTGCGTTTGCGTTAATCCTATGCGTTTAGCCGTTTTCGTCCTCGTGTGACCGGGGTCTGAAGCTCCATTGGAAGCCATTTGGAAAGGGCAGGCACTTTCAGAAGCACTTGGCAGGTGATTGGATCAATCTGTCTATCACCTTCTATCATGGGCTACTTCTGATGGATTAACAATGGCTGGTACATGTGGAGCACAGCACTTCTGATTGGTGTGTATGACTGACACACAAGAAAGAAAAAGAAAAAAATTGTAGAAAAAAAAAGTTAAAAAAATAAAAAATGTTTAAAAAAATCGATTTGATAATCGCATCATTTAAAATCGCGATTTCGATTTAAAATCGATTAATCGTTCAGCCCTAGTCCAAACGTAATGGCTCCGCGGATGTAACGTAACGGCTCCGCAGGTTGGTCCAATACGTTACGTCACTATACCCGAAATACGTCACTATACCCAAGAAGTAAACAATGTCCAACGAGGCGTTCTGGGGCAGCATAGACAGGTATTTTCTGTGTTAGAGTTTTACTCGCTACAGGATGTACTTTGAGGGTTTTTGACTCAGACCGTTTACATGCAGAAAAAGCTACATAACACACAAGGGGACGGGTAATAACCGGAAAAGCATGACATGGGACCTTTAAAGCAATCCTCATAGCATGACGCCTGGAAACAGCTAGCCTGACTCTTTCCAAAGTTCAAAAATGCACCTTCTAACATCTCGAAAGCTCACTTATTATTTAGTTTTTTTAATTGTTTAGCTGGAACACAAGCATTAATGTAAAGAATTCACACAACTCCAGGAGGTCCCAATGTTGTTCGCCTAGATTACTTCTATCGTGTTGAAATCCTTAAAACCAAAAAGGTTGCTTTAACATCTCTCTCAATCCAACAAGATTCAACATGTTAACCGGTCAGTTTGTGAAGGTGTTGATGGGTGCCATTTTGTACTTTGGACAGGTTAGGCTAGATGTCCCTGACTCCAGTCTTTATGCTAAGCTAAGCTAAACCTTCTGGCCCTAGTTTAATAACACAAATTTGGCATAGACATGAATATGAATATGTTCTCAGCAAGAAATCAAAGTAAATTTCACAAAATGTTGTATTTTCTTTAGATTGACACCAGTATTACTTTTATTTTACCCTACTAAAAGACGTAGAAGTCCACTGATATTTCCATTTAATGTATTTTGAATCTATAAAATAGTCAGGATCCTAAAACTCCATAAATATATTGTTGTGTGTTTTTGTATCTTCATTGACATAGTGTACAGAGCTCGTCACTAATATGTGTGTGTTGTTCGTGACGACCGTGTGTGTTCCTGTTTGTGACATCAGTGTGTGTTCCTGTTTGTGACATCAGTGTGAATGCTGCATCTTCATTACAGCCTGCTGACGTTTACCATCCACACTCTATTCACAGATAACTCTCTCTGACTGTCCCTAGGAGGAAAAAGAAGTGCATTCGCTACCTTCAAGGAGGAGGCTGTCCCAGTCCAACTTCTTCAGATTTAAGTGCCATAGACTCTCCCCCCTCCCACTCCCCCTCCCCCACCCGCCACCACCTGTACCAGCAGCACCAGCTCCCCCCCTCCCCGGGCTGCTCCCCCCCGCCGCCGCCCCCCGGCTCTCCATCAACACACCTCCCACTGTCTCCGCCGACACACACACGCTCACATACGCGCTTACCCCCGCTGCAGACCGCCAGCAAGCGCGGAGACCCCCGTCAGCCCAAACACAGCTACACACACACCTCTACACACACCTACACACACCTGGACCTGAGCGGCAGGGCCTCACACGGAGACACGGCAACGCTGTCCGTCGCCAAGGCAGCAGGACTTTCTCTCAAAGTGCTAACAGAGTCGCAGTGATTCCTCCAGAGCCACCAAGAGCATCATCTCTCCAATCATCTCATTTTTAACTATATTATGTGCTCCTTTTTGTTAAATAAAACTAAAGAAGAAGACTGAGGGTGGTGCAGCGAAGAAGAGGAAGCCATGGAGTAAAATTACTGGCTGTGTCTCAGTTCAGGGGTTTCTCCACACCCGTTTCAAGACAAAATACATCAGTAACAGATCACTGAGGCCTTTTACTAATCTTCTTTAAATGATCAATTATACAATCAAGCATCCAGGCAAGCTAAAAGTCTGGACATTTGGGATAATAAAAGGTTATCTGATCTTATTATTGGTCAGATGTGTGGTAAATCATACCAGCCTGCACATGTTAGTTAGCTTAACTACTAACCTTATCATAATTTACAGTTTGGTCAAAAGTTTGACTTTTCAATAATTTCTACAACTCTTATTTTTCTGTGATAGTGATTGGAGCACATACTACTGTGTCACAAAACAAAATCATGAAGTTTGGTTCTTTTATTTTTGTGATTTTTAAGTGGTATGTGCTCCAATCACTCTATCACAGAAAAATAAGAGTTGTAGAAATGATTGAAAAGTCAAGACTGTCATGAAATACATGTTCTTTACAAATGTATGTAAACTTTTGACCACAACTGTAAATGCGTGACTTCACGGTCATTACCTGAGTTGTTTTACACGTGTGTTGAACCCACAAGTGTTACAGAGTCTGATGCTAAGCTCTGGAAGAAGAGCTCGGCTTTAGAGCCTCGTTGTTGGAGGATCCCGCCCGATTGGGCTCTCCGCCACGTACCAAAACAGTTCCCGTTATAAAGAGGCAGGCCTGCAGTGGAGGCAGTTATTCTGGAGTTGTTTGGCTCCATCTGCTGCAGCTAAACTAAAATACTTCCTTTTAGGATACCTGTTGATTTTAGAAATACAAATCCTAAGCCCCACTCAGTGCTTTCTTCTTACCCTGTGCTTTGACCTAAATGACAATCACAAACTAAATGTCTTTACAGGACATTTACACTTTCCTTCAAATCAGATCCGTCTCTTGGACACATCATCCATCACCATGACTCAGACCAGCCGAGGGGAGACAAACACCAGCAGAACCTCGAAAGAGTGTTCATTTATTTTTAATCAACTCGACTTCATTTTCATTCAATTTCCAAACATTTTAAAGCTACCTTTTAAACAGTTTAAAAAAGGTCTCACATGACAGCCTCCCCACCTGCAAGTTACATTTTTAGGCACTTTCAGTCTCTCACTATATCAACCGTTACATTTTTCTCCTGTTTTTGATATTTTTGTATGAGGTTGTGATCTTTAAAAGGTCAGAAGCTGGTGGGGAAACCCTTTGGTTGTTTTCCTTTGACTCAATATTTTTGCAGCTCCATAAACTAATCTGAGACCAAATGGGTACTATTATATTGTGTTGTAAAGTTTTATAAATGTTGGAATTCCCTATTATAATTAAACTTTTATATGTTTTTATGTAAAAAAAAAAAATACATAACAAAAAAAAGAAGATTCTTTTAGTTTCTACCATTTCTTAAAGCAATACATTTTGTCCTCTTGTGCAGCGTTATGCGTTTTGTTTTGATCAAGTGTTACTGCAGCAGCGTTCAAATGATACCTTCTCAATCTGTGCATGTTCCAACTTCAGTGTAACAATAATTGATTTCTGACTGAAAAGGCTTTAAGTTACCGCTCTGCTTGCCGCTTCAACGGACAAACTAAACTTTGTACAGCAAAACTGTTTTCCTCCAGCAGAGAGAGCTCTTGTGCTAGAAATAGCTTGTTTGATTTTGAGGATGTCTACATCAGTAGTGGGAACACCTCAAAGATGTCTTCTGTATTTTTTACACCTCTGATGTATTACTTGTTTTCGTTTGATGTATTAAAGTGTTTTGAATATTTCAAAAATGATTCCAGTGAGACTTTTCCTTTTAAAGAGAAACACAAAAACAGACGGCAGCCTTTTTATGAGTTTTATTTACTCCTTCAATATACGATTGATCATCCCAAAAAACAGCATCAGAGCTTTATCTGAGAAAAGTTTCCAATTCAAAACAACATGAATTAGGAATTAGAGATACTCGATGCATAAAGGACATCGCGCAAAACAAACAACTTTCCAACTCGAACTTTTCCTTTAAAAACAAGCCGTCCTCTCTGAAAGCACTTTCACAGAACGGTTGCATTTACAGAGCAAAAATAAAATATCCACCCGTTCATCTCCATTGTCAAAAAAAAAAGCAATTTATTTAATCTAAATGAAAAACAAACATGTCCAGTAAAAAAGACAACCATAGCAATTATAACGGGGAGACGTCTAATCTTTAAGGATAGAAAGCCATGACACCTGGTTCTAGTGAATACACAACGTGTGTGGAAACAGAAAAAAGCTTTTTTTGTTTAAATTATTAACAACACACAGGCAGATTAAAATGGTCATGCTATTGGAATACAGAACTTGAGAGGAGGGGGAGTGTGTAGCTCTAAATATACTAAATTGTAAATATTGACAAGTATGAACAACGCCAGTGCAACCAGTTAGCGGGACGATTCCTTTTCAGGGTGGTAGTGTTGGCCGGACCCTCCCCTTTACTTCTCTTCACACCACTGGTTCTCTTTGCGTACCTGTGGACGACAGACAGGAGAAACGGGATGAGTAACAGGTCAACTCTCAAAGCTGTTCACCTTCAGCATCACTCAAAAGTGACATCATTTCCTAAACAATTAAGGCTTTTCTTCTTGTGTTATGACTGATGGGTGGATTCACTACCTGGGCTTCTTCCTCCTCTGTGAAATCGTTCTTGATGTTAAAAGTCTTCCTGATCTCCTCCGGGGTTTTGCCTTTAATCATGTTGGCAACCGTCTTGCAGGTGACGTCTAACAGACCTTTGATGTCCAAATAGTTAGCGGCCTGGAAGGAAACACAACAGAGAGAGGAAGGAGATTATTGTTAGACTTTAGCATTTCAAGCTACACATCAAGGTATATTAACAGTGAGCCAATTCTATTTTGTTTTCAGTTTATGTCAGGGACTACAATGCTTGAAGCTAAGGATTTGCACTGATGTCGTCAAGGTTAATGCCACTGAGAATTATAAGCATGTTAGAAAAAAGCTCTGGTGTAAATGCAAACAGCTGCTAACTTAAGAAAGCTACAAATAGTAGCAGTGATCGTCTTCTTGTTATCGGACAGTCCTTGTGCATATTGAGATTTGATTACATTGTAGGCCAAATCGAGACAATGAAAAAGCAAAAGACGAAAAATCATTCGTCTTTCAGAGATTGTATTCAGATACAGAACACAAAGTGTAAATGTATTGTGTGTTATAACCAAGAAGGCCAGGCAATTTGAATGCTTATTAGATATAAGCCAAAGTAAAGCAGTATAAATTAGTACGGCCTTGTTAAGACCAGCCCAGGAAAATCAAGATTTTTTTAAATGAAAATCTGGACACAGGGATTTTTGGACACACAAATCTGATCAGATCATTTGCAACTAGAAGTAAACACTGATCAGATTGATCAAAGCCTGCTGTGTTCAGATAACAAATCCCATAATACCGGTTAAACCTCACATAAGCCATGTGGTGGTCACTGAAAAAGCCTCGCACTCCTCACATCGGCCCATTCCCAAACCGCCCTCTACACACTACCCCTCCGTTTGCGTGTTCGCCATATTGAGGGCTGTTCCAAAGCAACGAGTGTGGAGGGGGAGTGGGCTATCAAGCCCTCAAACAGCGAGTCTGCAGCGGTGCTGACTTGAGACCGGTCTCTACCTGACCCGTCTCAACGCTGTGTGTGTCCGTCAGGAAACACGCTGTTTACAAGTAGTTCCAGCAAACATCCACTGATAAACTGCGATGTTAACAACCTCATGATAACCTCATATGTTTTTAACTTAGGATCATACCTGTGTTTAGTCTAGAAAAAGATAAATGTCTGCATTTTATTATAAAGTTGTGTATATTTACAGACCGTTGCAAAAACTAAGAAGCTTATAAACATCAGGTTTAAAACTAAAAAGAGCTTTGAAACACAATGAAAGATGTTTAGAGTTTTAGTTGAGTTATTAATTTAAACTTTTTGTCAAAGAGAAGCTGATTTGAAACCGTTGTTACATACAGTTACGGCATTTCCTGTTTCTGCCGGAGAGAGGGGAGGCCGTCCTAAAGCTTGCTGCTGTATTTACTCCCTCCATATGACAGGAGGAGCCTCGTTGAGCTGCGAGTGTGGCTACAGACGGAGTTCACTCCGTCACGGAGGGGTAGGGTCGAGGGAGTGGTTTGGGATTGGACCTAAAGCATGAAGTAACCGTGTGCTTGTAAACACATTCTTATAAACTCAAATGACGACACTCCACTTGGGTTTCACTTCCTGGAAGCCCACAGCTTGTCCAACACTTATTTCCTAATCTTTCCCAGGAACTGCCTGTGTTACCTGTCACATGCTCTCTTGTTTTCCTTCAGATCGTCCACAGAGTAAATGCATGTAAGCCAAAGATCCCTTCATGTGGGTTATAACTTTAAAAACGGTATCGTTTTAAATCCTTAAAAACAGCCAACCATCTATCTTCTAGCTGTTGCTAAGCAAGTTTAGCATCTCTGGCAACCAAATGAAACCGCTCACCACTGCATCAGAGCAGGGAAGGACATTTCAAACTAAATATGCACATTCAAATATAACAAATATGTCAATAAGAGGCTAAAAGTAAAAGAGAACTCCTGCAATGACAAAGCTTTCAAAGTAAATCTCTAGAGAAATCAAATTATAGAATACCAAAAAGGTTTAGTTACTGACTGCATGCTTAATCAAATATGTAACCAATAAACATTTCTAACGCTGGTCACATGACGTTGGTTTGACTGTCTTATTTGATGTGGTTGAAGTTCAGTGGTTTAGCAGGTTAATGGTTGTAGTTTAAATGATTTTCAACCTCTATGAATGCAAGTGAGTGTAATATAATGTCAACTGTATTTACCAGAATGAGTTCAAACAAGGTGCCTTGGTCCACTTTGAGGAACTCTTGGTCCCATACAGGAATGTCATCTGTCCTCTTCTCCTTGTTCTCATCGTCCTCAGGAGGAGGAGGGTCATCTTTGTGGTGGGTGCACCACTGAATCACCTGAGGGGAACACACACATACCACTTTAACCAACATACTGCAGGAAAAACCTTGTTTGAAATAACTGCAGCTCTGGTGCACAAGCATACCATTGAAGAGGCAGAAATAAGCAACTTTCACACAATGTGATTAACTGGCCATTAGACATTTAACCAGGGAAAAGTTCAATCAACACACCTATAACATGTGTGTGTGTTTGTTTTTCTTTGTGTGTGTGTGTTCTGTACCTTCTTGAGGATGGCAGCGTTAACATTAGGGAGAGGAACTGGGTCATCGTCTCCTTCATCATCCATTCCCAAATCTGTCAAAGAATCAATGAGTGACTTACATTAGTCAGTTATATCTACAAACAATTGCAAATATTACAATACAACGATATAAATAGGGCAAAGAAGACAACTTATTACACAAAGTTAGCATCAAGTTGAAATGGACTCAAAAGAGTGCAATGATTTGAGATACCTTCTAACATAGTCTTGATGGTGACAGACTGTTTGGCGATCTCCACATCCACCTCGAAGATTTCCCCATCAGAGCTCTGTAATTTTATCGTGGGCATTATCTGTAAAGACAAACAATGACATTATTAAGTAAATAAATATAACCAACTGTTCAAAAAAGTAACAACAGTCACAGTTTTCCCAAAAATGTCCCGTCTGGTCTGCTAACTCTGCAGCTAGCTAATCCTGTATTTACGTGACTGCTAGCTTGTCAGTTTACATCGTTAATGATCAGCTTGCTATATTAGTGAGGTTAAAACTGCTACAGGGATTAATATACTTCAACCTTACCTGTGAGGGTGATGTTATTAGCATTTCTAAGTATAAATATGTAGCTCTATAGCGATACTTTTCAACCTAACAAACGACACATTAAGCTAACGCTAGTCAACTGTTAACACAGGCTAAACGACGGTAATGCTAACCAAATAGCTAGTTGCTATAAGGTGGATAATCAACTTACATTAAATAGATGCATTGTTACTGCATTAAGTATTAGATCCACATTTTAAGCAACAAACCCCGACTTGTATGTTAGTACAACCAAAACAATTGCCCAATAGCTAAGGTTAAATAAATATGAGCTAGCATTACCATGCACTATGCTAGCATTTAGCTTGACAGTAAGCTAGCGCCCTGCGATGAAGTGAGGCCTCTTAGCAACCAACACCGATGCTACTGAAACAAAGATGTAAACAAAACCTGAGTGGCGGTTTGACTTCAATTTTCAAAGATAAACAACGTGTAAAACTAAAATCACATTTCGCGTTGGGAAGCTACGTACCGTAAATGTTTTTCCTCAGATCCAGAGGTAAGGTTCCTCTGTGTTGATCAGCAGGGCCTGACAGACGCGGGGCTGTTTGGTTTATGAGTCTGCTGCTCCCGGCGGCTGTGGAGCGCTTTGTCAGAGAGCGGGGGAGCGAGGGGGGATGCTGCTTTTCCTGTTGGTCTAACTCTTTATACAGTCTATGGTCTAACTCTGTTCCAAATATGTTTAAATGTACACACAAAAATAAAGATTCCGAGATGTATCCGACCTTTAGTAACCACAAGTGATAACCACCCATTTACTCAAATTCTGTATGTAGGTACTTGTACTTTACTTGAGTACTTTCGCTTTATGCTACTTTAAACTTTTTAATAGACTACATTTATTTTAGATATGTATATACTAGTTACAGATTTAGGTTAATACAAAATATAAATCGACACAAACTATGAGACCAATGCTGTCATTATACGATTATCATAATTATTCAAATACATTTTAATTGCTAATAGGCCTAC